CCCTGGGGTCCCTCCCGGCCGAGGGTGCCCCATGGGTGGTGTCTGTCCCCAGGAGTACATGCAGTTCCGCACGGTGGGCACCAAGACCAAGATCTGCAAGCTGACCCTGCGCTGGCCCTGCCCCATGACCTTCGCTGCCAAGGGCCGACGCAAGGTGGAGGCAGAAAACAAAGCAGCAGCTCTGGCCTGTCAGAAGCTGAAGGTGAGTGAGTGCCCCTGGCTCCTGCATCCCTGGAGGTGTCTGTGGGTACAGGCTCCTTCCACCTCACTCGCTGTATTTGGGCCCGATGGGGGGATGCCTGTAACTTTCTGACCTTTGACCTAATGCTTAATGAACTAATTCCTAATAAACATGTATTTCCAAACCTTGGGATTCACAACATTCCAGAACCATAGCAAGGGAATTAACAAGAGGGTTTGTCAGGTACAGTCATGGCTGCTGTTCCTCCAAAGGGTCTGTTTGAGACCTTCTTGTGAGTGTTGTGAGCATGTAGTTGGCTTTGGTGTGTCTTTTTCTCCAGAGCTGAGGTGGGATCATGTCTTGTTTCTTGCTCTGGCAAGAAAACCAGGAAGTGATGGATTTGGGATGGCAGGGAGTTGGCTTGTCCCCATGCAAGGGATCCATGTGCTCCGTATCCCAGCACTTGGTGTGAGCAGTCTCGTGGCTGACAGTGTTGTTTGCCTGTTCCTTGCAGAGCCTTGGCTTGGTGGACAAGAACAACAACCCCCTGAGCCATGCCATGTACAACATGACTTCCCTGCGGGAGCTGGGGGAGAACCAGAGGAAGCCCTGCCACATCAAAGTCCCCGAGGCCACCCTGCGCAAGATCGAGAACTACCTGAACCACGTGAGCGCCTTTGCCTGGTCCCATCTGCCCACAGCAACTGGGTGTCTTTGAAAGCTTCATGGCAAAACATTGAGGGAATTCATGGCTTGATTGTTGCCACGAAACCCGACCAGTCTCTTGCTGCCCCTTTGGAGAAGGGAGACCCTTTTTGGGCAGTGGGTCTTCCCTTTGTGCCTCCAAGGCTGAATCCGAAAGTTCTGATTGATTAAAAGTTCGGCAGCTTTTAATCTGTGAACATCTGGGCCAATGCCTTGATTTGTGTTCTAGACAATTCCTGACCTGTTGTTGCTCCTTTTAGTTCGTCCTGTGGGATGTGGGACTTCCGTTTTTTCTTTTGCCAAGACAGAATATTTCTGGCTCAGGCAAAAACACTTGTGTTTTATGTGAGTTATGTGTCTGGGCTTCCCGAGGGAGAGAAGGGTGGTGGTGTAACGTGATAGTTTCCAAAAGTTGTCTTGGAGGAGCTGCTGCATTGGAGAGCTTAAGTAACTAGTTTGTGCCTGTCAGTTCAGGCATCAGCACTAATACCTCCTAAAATAGGGAGCACAGCAAGGAAAGCACAGGGAGCTGCCCACGTTAATTCTCACCTTAAATATCCTCAGTTCAGAACAGAAGTCACTGAGTTAGCAGAAATGCTTTGTGGGCATGGCAGAGCTTTGTGGGCATGGCAGAGCTTTGTGGGCATGGCAGAGCTTTGTGGGCATGGCAGAGCTTTGTGGTCATGGTAAAACCAGGCTGGCTGAGCCTGTTCCAGGCACTTGTTTCATTCTGTCTGTCCCAGGACCGGTGCTAACCTTTCTGTCCTTGCCAACTCCCTCCCTCTCCCCAGTATCCCGTGGACATCAGGGAGTCCCGGCCCCGGATTGCCGATGACATGATGAACCTGACCAAGGAATCCGGTGCGATAAGCGACGCCATCACGGGGAAGACCTACATCCCCATGCTGGAGGCAGAGGAAGTGCGCCTTAGCCAGAACCTCCTGGCCCTCTGGAAAAGGAGAGGAGCCTCCTGGCAGGAGAGCCACCCACTGCCAGTAGACCCCCACAAGGACACCATCCTGTCAGCCATCGAGCAGAACCCCGTGGTGGTAATAGCGGGAGACACGGGCTGCGGGAAGACCACGCGGATCCCGCAGCTGCTGCTGGAACACTACATCCTGGAGGGCCGCGGCGCCCGCTGCAACGTGGTGATCACCCAGCCCCGCAGGATCAGCGCCATCTCCGTGGCCCAGCGCGTGGCGCAGGAGCTGGGGCCCAACATGAGGAAGAACGTGGGCTACCAGGTGCGGCTGGAGAGCAAGCCCCCCGCCCGGGGAGGGGCCCTGCTCTTCTGCACCGTGGGCATCCTGCTCAGGAAGCTGCAGGGCAACCCCAGCCTGGAGGGCGTCAGCCACGTCGTGGTGGACGAGGTGCACGAGCGAGACGTCAACACCGACTTCCTGCTCATCCTGCTCAAAGGCATCCAGAAGCTGAACCCCGACCTGCGCCTGGTCCTCATGAGCGCCACGGGGGACAACCAGCGCTTCTCCCACTACTTTGGGGACTGCCCTGTGGTCAAGGTGCCGGGCTTCATGTACCCGGTGAAGGAATACTACCTGGAGGAGATCCTGGCCAAGCTGGGCCGGCACCGACACCGGCACTACGAGATCAAGGTGGGTGTGCAGGTGTTGCCCTGGGGTGGGCACTGACTTTGGTGTGTTGTCACGGGAGAGTTTGGGCCTGGAACTGGTCCCACTTCCCTCTGGTTCCTGGACACTGTTTGCTTAGCTTTAATTCCACACCAGCCCTCATGAGGTGAAGTCAGCTTAGTGGAATCACAGAGTACTTTGATTAAATAATGGGTAAAGATTACATTTTGGGGGTCAAGTTACTTTTGTCCCCCTTTAGTTTGACGTTTGAGTAGGCTGAGAGCTCGTTGTTGTGTGTGTATAGACACTGACACACACTGGAAGGTTTGCACACTCTCTGCAAGCCTGTCCAAGGCTGGCATGGTTGTGCCTTCCAGCACCGTTACCTCAGTGCTCGTGTCCTGCATGACTGAATTCCCTGGTTGCTGCTTTTTGCAACTAGTCCAACTGTTCCCTTGGAAAATGCCCTCCAGACATGCACTCTGTGCTGTGGGTAATCTTACACCAGCGGTGGGTCATGGAGTCACTGAGCTTGGCCAGGATCTCCAGACAGTTTCTGGTCCAACCTGCTGGTCTGGAAGCTGTCAGCCCGTTTCTCCAGCCTGGAGAGATCCCTCCCTGTGGCTGAGCAACTGTCTGGAGTATGAGCCACTTGTCCCAGTCCCAGATCATCAGCAAACCAGCGTGGGGTATCCCATTGCCTTCAGGGCATTCTTCCTGATTCTGATGTGGCTGGGGTTGTAGCTGAGTTTTATCAGCTTCTCTGATAGCCTGTCCCAAATCACCAGGAGATACAAAAGCTGCTGCTCAGTGTCTGGTGGCTTTGCAGTCCCAGGTGCACGTGGCACAGTTTTGTCCCCAGAAATCTCATGTGAATTCTGTTACTTGTGAGGTGCTGTTCAGCAGAGATGCACAAATCTCAGCTTCCAAATCTGGAGATTGGGCAGGGACTGTGTATTCTCACTGCACAGCAGAGGGAACTGGCAGCAGTTATGACCAGAGCAGGTTCCAGATGGAGCCAAAACCAGGCTCCCGAGGTTGCTGGCTCCAAGTCCTGGGCAGGCTGTCCAAGTCCAGGCATTTGCAGACTCCAGGAGATGCTCTGGAGGCTGTGCCTGTGTGCTCAGTGCTGGCCTTACCTCACTCACCCACGTGTCCTGTCCCATCCAGCAATCCGACGACGAGTGTGTGCTGGATCTTGACCTGATCACCGACCTCGTGCTCCAGATCGATGCCCACGGAGAGCCAGGTGGGTTCTGCCTTTCCCATGGCTCTTTTCTCCTGCTGGGGGAGATAAAAGTGAACCCTACAGAGCCCAGACGATGCTGAGCCTCTTGTGCAAGGCCTCCTTGAATTCCTGTTGGCCCAAGTGTCCTCGAGCAGTGTGGCACGAGGGAATTCCAAGTCTATGGCTAAGAACATCTGAGCCTCAGTGTCCTGGGCAACTGTTCCTGGGGATGAAGAGCAGGACTTGTCTGTGCTCCAGCATTTGCAGCCTTGAGCTGCACAATTATCTTTGTATATTGGAACCCCATCCCTGTTAAATATTTTTGCCTGGAAGGTGATGTTTTGGGAAGAAGGCAGGACTCTCAGATGACTTGTAAGAGCTTTAAGTGTTTCAAAGCTCACAGGTATCCACTCTGAAACTACAGGCAGCCTGGTTGCTTTCTGCCTTGAAAGCCTCTATCTCCAGCTGGGGAAAAGTACCTGGATTTCGAGGCTGCGTGTTCCTAACTGTTGGTGTGTTCCAGGTGGGATCCTCTGCTTCCTCCCTGGCTGGCAGGAGATCAAAGGGGTGCAGCAGCGGCTGCTGGAGATGCTGGGCTCGCAGAACAGCCGCTACCTCGTCCTGCCAGGTGAGAGGGCAGGGCCAGCCCCTTCTTCCCAGGATTCAGGAGAATCTGGGACAGTTGACTCGCTGAGCCCCTTCAGCTTTGCTCTCTGGTGCAGAGCTCTTGTGCTTTGATGTACCTGTGGTGTAAGAGTGTGTGGGGAGCGTGAGTAACTCCTCCTTTGTGATCAAAGCCAGTGGCTTCCCGTTTGCCTCCAGCAATTGGGAATTAGGCCAGGGGCAAACAGCTCAGTTCTGCATTGCTGTAGCTGCCTGCTGAGCCTGCACAGAAAAGATCCTCAGGACCTGTTCTGTTGGATGCAAAAGGACTGTGGAGCTCAGCTTTGATCGGTGAATTTAACATTGCTTATCCCAGGAGGAAGTTTATAACAAAAGGCAGTTTTGCTGTGCAAGGCTGTGAAGGGTTTTGGCACTTCTTTGTTTGTTTTTTAGCAGCCCTCCCTGTTCAGTGTGGAACAAGGCCGGGCAGGGGCAGAGCTTTGAGCAGCTCAGCTGTTCATGAACACAGGTGTTCTTCCGTGGGAACCGCCTGTTCTCCTGCTCCCCCTCCCACTGCCGGCAGTGCCTCTGTGTCACCCAGCTCTGACAGGCCACTCTGCCACAGCACAGCCACAGGCCCTTGCTGGGAACTACTTCTGACCAAGAGGGCCCAAATGGGAGGGAGGACACCCCATTCTCCTGCCCTGGGGGACTTGTGGGGAGGGGGAGCTGCAGAACTGGACTGTGGGAGAGAGTGGGACTTGAGGGATATTCCGGAGGTGCCACCAGGCTCTGGGACGGGAGGTGAGCAGAGCTCCTGCTGCTGAGCCAGAGGCTGAAGCAGCTGAAGTGAGGCCTTCCCAAATGATGTGTGGAAGATCTTCCCTGGGGTCTGGCTGGCAGGAAGCTGCTGACAGTGAACATCAGTGACACCCCCATTTCTGTCCCACATTTCTGGAAGCGGGAGGAGATGGTACAAGAGGAATCTGCCCACCAGCTCAGCCGGGTGGGACTGACTCTGTTTTGATTTCCCAGTGCACTCCAACATCCCCATGATGGACCAGCAGAACATCTTCCAGAGGCCTCCTCCTGGCGTCAGGAAGATTGTCCTGGCCACCAACATCGCGGAGACCTCCATCACCATCAACGACATCGTGCACGTGGTGGACAGTGGCACGCACAAGGAGGAGCGCTACGACCTCAAGACCAAGGTACTGCTGCTTTCTTGCCCCTGAGGGCATTGGGGACACCCTGAACCTCAGGGATGTTTTCAGAGGAGCACTTGAGGTGTCATTAACGGGATGATGGAGCTGCTTCTCATTTGGCCCTTGGGGCATGGGCGCTGTGTCCCTGTTTGGGGACAGTGTTTGATTCATCACCAGTGTTTGCCTTGTCCAAGCTCTGTGCCAGGCTCCTCACAGCCAAAATTCTGGTGTCTTCAAAGAAATTCAAGGCAAATCCTACTCCCTTCCCAAGTCTGTGATACCATGGAACGTCTGTAGCTTTTCTGTTTGCTTTTTGTCTTTTTCCATGATTTCATCAAAAACCTCTTGCTGGCCCACGCAGGGCAGCCCTGACCTGTTGATCCTGCTCAAGTTTGCAGCTCTCCTGACCCCAATCCCTTGGTTTGTTCCTGGACTTCCAGAGGAGCTTCACTGCCCTCAGGCCCTGTGTCTGGCAGTGCTGAGCCCTGTGAAGGCTCTTGTCTGTCCACCTTCCTAACAAGGTGAAGACAACTGTGCTGCTGTTGCCCTCAGGAGAAGGAATTCTGGCTACATCCCCCTGCCCCTGTTCTCCCTGCCCTGCCCCATCATCTCCCATCATCTCCCTGCCCTGCCCCATCATCTCCCAGGGCCAGGTGGCCGTTCACATCTTGGACCAGTCCTGGTTTAAATCCATCCCTTTGATATTTGCCCAGTGTTAATCCCAGTTCAGAATGCAGAGCCAGAGGCAGGGCTGGAGATCCTGGAAGCCCTGGGATGAGGACCTGGGATAGGTGTCCAGCAGGTGGCATCTGGGTCCCATCCATGCCCTGACAGAGACCAGCACTGCAGGAGGCAGGGGAGTGGGAAAGGCTTCCCTGGCCCTTTGGGATCATCGGTCAGTCTGGAGTCTGTGTGTGGATGGAAAAATGCAAAGAGAGGGACTTTGGACAGGGAGTGACAGAACAAGGGGAGTCGCTTCATGCTGGCAGAGGGCAGGGTTAGGTGGGATATTGGGAAGAAATTGTTCCCTGTGAGGGTGGTAAGGCCCTGGCACAGGTTGGGCGGAGAAACTGTGTCTGCCCCATCCCTGGATGTGTCCAAGGTTGGATGGGTCTTGGGATACCTGGGCTAGTGGGAGGTGTCCCTGCCCATGGCAGGGGTGGGATTGGATGGGCTGTAAGGTCCCTTCCAACCCAAAGCAGGGTGGGTTCTGTGATCTGAGCAGCCCTGGGAGCACTCATGCCTGCTCCTCTCCCCAGGTGTCCTGCCTGGAGACGGTGTGGGTGTCCAAGTCGAACGTGGTGCAGCGGCGGGGCCGCGCCGGCCGCTGCCAGTCGGGCTTTGCCTACCACCTCTTCCCTCGCAGCCGCCTGGACAAGATGCCAACTTACCAGGTGCCAGAGATCCTGCGCACCCCCCTGGAGAACCTGGTGGTGCAGGCCAAGATCCACATGCCGGAGAAAACGGTGAGCACAGCGCCGGCTGCGGGACTGCGCCGGCTGCGGGACTGCGCCGGCTGCGGGACTGCGCCGGCTGCGGGACTGCGCCGGCTGCGGGACTGCGCCGGCKGSGGGACTGCGCCGGCTGCGGGACTGCGCCGGCGGGAGCCTGGAGCCAGCTCCAGGGACAGGAGTGGGGAACAGCCAGCGGGCTGATGACTTGGGATCTTGCTTTCCTAAACACGGGGCTGTCTGGGGATGTTAACACCAGGAAATGTGAAGAACCCTTCGATTACAGAGTGTGTCTAGAAGGCTGAAGGAATGGAGGGGGCTGAGCTCATATCCCTGGAGGCAAAGAAAGAGGGAATGCTGTTGCAGTCTGGGGCCCTGGGGCAGGACAGAGGGCTCTCCCACATGCCTGCATGGGAAACTTGCCCACTTTTTCCCTTTTCCCTCCCCCCTGCTGTGTTGCAGGCAGTTGAATTTCTCTCCAAGGCTCTGGACAGCCCTGACATCAAAGCTGTGGATGAAGCCGTGATCTTGCTGCAGGAGATCGGTGAGATAATGCTGTGTCCTGGAAACGTGTTTGCTGTCTAAACACGGGAAGTGGGAGCTGGCACAGGATCCTGTGGGACAGACTCTGCAGGATTATCCCTGGAGGGGGATGGCAGTTGATAGGGACTTCCCAAACCACACGCCTAGTGCTGTTTTATTTCCCACACCACTCTGCTCAAAGAGTGGGGAGAACTTTCCAAGGTTTAAAAACAGAAGGGAAGGGGGTGACAGGGAGAGAAGGGGAGCGGTGATCTGGAATTCAGAACTGGGCCTTGTTGACTGTCATGTGCCTGTGGCAGCCATTTCTTCAGCCTCAGCTCAGTCAGACCTGGGGGGTTCTGGGTGCTGATTGCAGGCCCCTGTCCCTGTGCCTCTTCTGGAGGTCCCCCAGATCTCCCAAGCGCTGTGGGTGGGTTCTCCTGGCAGCTCCCAGAGCCCCCAGGAGCTGATGTCTGTTCCCACCCTGGGGGCTCTGTGGCAGGAGTGCTGGACCAGCGGGAGGCCCTCACCACCCTGGGCAAGCGGCTGGCCCAGATCTCCACAGACCCTCGGCTGGCCAAGGCCATCGTCCTGGCCTCC